ACCCCTGCCTGATGACTCCACCAGCTGCGGCAACTCTACAGGAAGAAGGGAAGATGCCTTGATCATTTTGGAATGATCTAATCCCCCTGGTTTGGTTCAAGATGCATCGCATCCCAGTCTGTTTGGCAGCAAGCTCCGTCATGAATCCACTCTTGGGTTGGGAAATGGCGTATCCTTCCTCTCCCAACTCTTGCCCTCCTCCCCTCCCCTCTCCCAGCCTCCTTCCCTTTCCAGCCGGTGTGAGAAGCCTCATGGAAGGTTTCCGCTTGAGAGACGGGCTGCTGGGGCTGCCTCCTGGGCACTGAGCCCAGCAGATGCTCCCGGATCGGAGAGGTGCTTTCCTGGAAAGCAAGAGACCTCCACCCCACGCCGCCCCCTACCTCACTATAGCTCATATCTCTGGGGTGGGGGTGTGGACTGGACGCAGGAAGAGGTCCCGGCCCTCTTCCGGCTCACAGGCAGCTCTGGGCTTCCTCTGGGTTTGGGGGGAGCTGGCCGAGTCTCAGCTGCCCAGTGCCAGACTCCCGCAGTCTGGGCACAGAGGCCCTGGCCTGCAGGTGGAAGCCACCCCAGCTGTCACCCGGGCAGACTGGGGAGCTGGGGTGGGGTAGCCATGGCGGAGGCTAAAGCGTGTTTATTCTGAAACCACTGTGGAGAGAGAAGCTGCCTCTTGCCTGGTCCCACGTGCTCCCCTTCTCTGAGCCCCCTTTTCTCTGGGTTCACATTCTTCCCGTCTTTTCCCAGGTCCCCCCTTCTCGCTGCTCCGTGCTTCTTCCACATCCTCCTGCTCTGGCTTTCCTCTCCTCCTCCCAGCTTCCTGAGTTGGCAAGGCCATTCTCAGGACAGACCCACGCAGCCCCCAGTTCCCTTGTGCTCTCAGGGTCCTGGGATGGCGGCTGCGTGGCCAACCTGAGAGTCCCTTCAGACCTATGGAGTCCCTGCACTGGTTTCCTGGGCTTTCTCCACTCCAGCCCCTCTTTCCTCTCCTTCCTCCCTCACCCTCTCCCCTCCCTTCTTCATCCTGGCTGCTTGTGGGGAAGGACATGTCTCATTTCCTTTGGGGTCACCAACACTGCCCCTGCCGAGGGTCAAGGCTAGCCAAGGCAGAGTCCTTTGAGGACCTAATCTCTCTCTCTCTCCTGGTCTTTCTGAGGCCTGGAGGTGGGGTTGTCTGTAGGAGGTACACTTCACCTGGGGAGGCCCGCAGAGGCCTTAGGGTAGACCTGGGCTCTTCGCCTTCCCTGCCTCTGGGGAAATAGCCCATGGGGAGGGAGCCCAGCCCCAGCCTGGGTGGGAGAGCCAGGGCTTTGGCAGGAATGGCAGGAAGACTGGAACCAGCTCTGGGTGCAAGGTCAGACCAGGATGCCTTAGAAAAAATAACAAAAGGGCCTCTTGCAAAGCTCCAGGGAACAGATGTTTCCCATTTGTAGCCTGCCTGCCCAGAGAAAGGGCGGGGATGAGGGAGGAGGAGGAAAACCAGAGGCAGACAAGGGGAGGAGTCGGGGCCAAACAGGGAGGCCGCTGAGAGCAGAGGGAAAATAGAAGGGGAGGGACAGGGAAGGAGCCCAGCGGGCCGGAGAGGGGCCCTTGGCACTGAGGTGCAGCAGGGTCCTGTTTGCTGAGGTGACAACCTCGACTGTGAAAATTCAAGGAAAATCTGGTGATAGTGAGTGCTCATCCAGTTCTGGCTGGGGGAGGCCAGGGTGGGTGTGGGCACCGCCGGGTCCTGGCAGCCAGGGCCAGCTGGAAGATCAGGACAGTGGTGGGCGCGGTGCCCTGGGACTTCTGCTGTGGCCGAGCTGACTGTCCAGGGAGCACCGTGTCTGGTAAAGCAATGAGCCGGGTCAAGGGCATCTTCCCAGGGACACTGAGGCTACTAGGAAGGGGCAGTGCACTGTCACCCCCAGACCTGTGGGCCTGTCTGCAGGTCAGAGGCCCCAGCGTGGAGGCTGGACCTGCCAGAAGCTGACTGCGAGACGGCCACAAGCCCTGAGACCTCTGGCTCTGTTCTGTGTTGCCTGGTTTCCCGCCTAACTGGTGACGGAGCCCATCAGAGCAGCCCTCCCTGTTTTCCAGGGCTTGTTCTCTGGCGTGTAGCCAGCCCAGCAAGGTCCAGGGCCTCTGGAAGACCCAGGGCCCCGAGGCAGGAGGCATTGGGATTGGATGGGGTTCCCTCTCATTGAAATCTGTTGATGTGAATGCACTATGAGGAATCCCCAAGGAAGGGACTAGGGTTAGCCTCTGGAGGCAGGGTGGCAAGTTGTAAACAGCTTAATGAGCCGTGCCAGGGCCACCTGGGCCGGGGCCCACGTGGGCCAGGCCCGGGATGGGATTGCTAGAGCCAGGTGGTCTAGGAGAGTGGGGACCCTGGTTCCTAGGCCCACAACTGGGCCAGGCTTTTGGCAATGGAGGAAGCAGCCACCCCCAAACGCACACCCACACACACTTCCTTCTGCTTTTCTCCTCTTCTCGAATGACCCTAGAAGATGCTATCACAAGCAGATCCCGGCCCACCTCCCTTGTCCTTGCACTCTCAGCCAGCTCACATGCTGCCTCCCCCAGGAAGACCTCCCTGACCACACCAGCAACACTGACCTGACCCACCTGAGTGCCCGTGACATGTAGACTTGGCACTTGCCATTGCACCGACCTGGGCTTCTCAAGTGGTTCCGTGACTCGGCGCCCCACTCCTCCACCTCTGCTCTTTCTCCTTCTCATGGGAGGACCAGGCATACAGTCGGTACTCGATTGTTGCACATTAGACACTCAGTTATGAAGGCAGCTGGTTCAGAGCCCCTGGCAGCCGCTCAGCAACAGAGCAGAAGCAGAGCTGAGACTGAGATAGCCAAATCTCTGACCTCTGGGCCGGCCCCTCCCTGCAGGGCCCTGAGTTCAAAGCCCCACCTCCTGATTTCACCTTCCTGTGCCGTCTACTCTGGGAGTCTTCATTTCAGCTATCTCCAGGGACAAGAGCCTGTACTTCTCTCGCGCGCCATATCCTGAGAAGCCTGTCTTCTCTGAGTTTAATTAATTCTCTGACTCTCCCAAGTTCTCGTCTCCACTAGAGAAAGAATATCCTTACTCAAGAAAGGCCCTCTGTAGTATTTCAGGATGCGGCTAGCTACTTGGATTGCACTGTGAACCTTAGGCCATGTTCATGCTAAGTACCCCAAGCACTAGGTGTTGTCGCTGAGTCCCTGGTTAGGCCTCCTTCCTGCTGCTTAGCAGGACAGGAAGAAAGGATGCCTGGGCCAGGTCTCTCTGCCTCATCCTGGGAGCTTCCCTTGGGAAATCTGTCATCTACCCCACCCCAGACATCATCCGAACTAGGGTAACCTCAGCTCTTAGACTTTGCTAGAAAAAGTTCTTGGCAAAGCCGCAAGTCAGACTGTGCCGGCCCTTCTGCGCTTCCCATCTGTGTCTCGATCCTTCTGTGACTTCCACATGGGCACCAGGGGCTGCTTTGGAAGGAAGGCTGAGTGCCCCATGAGGCCGACAAGCAGTGTCTCCGAAAGCGCCGGTCGTGGGCTGTGCCTGAGCGCGTGGGTCTGAAGTGTGCGTTCATGTGGGCCGGCCCGGTTGGAAGAATGGCCCCGTTTCCCACTGCTCTGGTTCCTGAACAGATCCCTTCCTGCCTGCTGGCCCAAAGGGGTGTGTGACCGCTTTGGAGGGAGGCCACGGAGCTGCTGGGGGATCTGGCCCTGGCTCTGCCCTTTCTCATCAGAGCCTCACCTCCTCAGCCCGGCTTTTTTAAAGTACTGATGGTACCTGCCTCCCTCCAAGACTCGTGAGGATGTGAGAGACAGTGTTTCACATGCCTGGGCCTGGCACACCAGCTCTGCATCCGTGCAGGCGGTGGTTTTTGCAGCTGTCACCAGCACTGCCTGTTCCGTACCCCGCTCTGCCCCTAGCAGTGCCTCTTTCCCTCGCCCTCCCACCCTGTCCTTGTCAGGGTCACTCGGTTCTCCCTGGGTTCTGAGCACACTCCCACCTTCAGTCAGCCCCCTGCCGGGGAGACCAAGGGCCCCCTGACCTGCTTCCGTCCCCTCCTTCTCAGACACGCAATGAACAGATGAATTGAAGGGACACTGAAAAAGAGGTCAGTGTCACCTGAGCATGCTCTTAGCGCTCCAGGGGATGCCATGTTCTCACTAGCGGGCTCTGAAATCAGACAGCCCACCGCAAACCCTGGCTCCAACCTTGCTCTCCCTGAGGCCTTAGGCAAGTGTCTGGACCTCCATGTACCCAGTTCCCCGAGTGGGGTCCTGAAAGTGCTTGTTCTATGGGGTTTTGGTGAGCACTAACTCCATCGAGCCAACCCGTGGGGAGTGCTCAGCAGGGTACCCAGGATAGAGTAGGCGTTCATTCCCCAGGGTTCCCCCGCATCCCACAGCCAGCCGGTCCCGGGCTGCGTCTCGGTGGGACAGGGCCCGTCGCCTGAGACAAGTTCCCTACCTCTGCAGTGGAGGAAAGGGGGCCCTGCCTCTGACTCCCCACCCCTCACGCCTCCCCCTGCCTTCTGCCTTTGCAGCTGAGTTGTTCATGGAGCAGCAACACCTCAAGGAGGCAGGTTTCTGCATCCAGGAGGCGGCGGGCCTCTTCCCCACGTCGCATTCGGTGCTCTACATGCGGGGCCGGCTGGCCGAGGTGAAGGGCAGCCTGGAGGAGGCCAAGCAGCTCTACAAGGAGGCGCTCACGGTGAACCCGGATGGCGTCCGCATCATGCACAGCCTGGTGAGTCGGGCCCCCCCGCCACTCGCTGCCAGGCCCCGGGCCCTGTCCCCCCTTGCCCCTCCTCCCTGCCATGCCAGCACCTTGCTACAGCCGTTCCCTGCTGTGTGAGGCTGGGTCCCTGGGGTGGTAAGATCCCAAGTCCTGAGCCCCTGGTTCTCGATCTTGGGCTCAGGACTTGGGAGTCCAGGGTGCAGTGAACCCTGTGGGAAGATTGGAGGCTGAGAAGCAGGATGTGGGCACTTTGGTCCTGGCCGGGCCTCTCTCTACCTGAGTGATCATAGACAAGTCAACCACTTCCTCCAAATCTTCGTTTTACTTACCTGTCCAGTGGGGATTCTCTGGGCCCTCCTCTGTGCTCTGTCAGGAGAGAGAGCATTCTTGTTCTTGTAAACCCACAGGCCGTTCCCCTTCAATCAGGGTCTGTGTTGATGAAAAAGATCTAGAAGGCTTGGTTGGTACTCATTGTGACTTTCTTTTTGCTGTGGAAGTTTCTATAAAGTGATCTAGCTCCAAAGGACTTTCACTGTTACTCATCAGATCCTTGCCCTGGAGGCTTATTCAGCTCCAGGCGGTCACCACCATGCTCTTCTTTCTTGGGGTCCCCAGCCCTGTCCTGACCATCTGCCTACCTCCTGGGTGGGATTCAGGGCATGCTCTGGGACGGGCAGACTTAACAGACCTGACTCAAGCACACATTGAGAAGGGTCCCTGGGGCGGTAAAAGATTCAGCTGCTCCCGTTATTCGGTCTTGGGCTCAGGACTTGGGTGCCCAGGGTGCAGTGACCTCTGTGGGAAGGTCAGAGGCTGGGAAGCAGGATGTGGGCGCTCTTGTCCTGGCCTGGCCTCTTTCTTCCTGAGTGATCACGGGCAAGTCAACCACCTTCTCCTGACCTTCATTTTACTTATCCTTCCAGTGGGGATTCTCTGGTCCAGGAAACATTTATTGAGCACCTGCTCTGACAGGTGATACAGTAGACTCTATGGATGCCCCCCCCCTTTTTTTGCTGCTTCCAGAGAGCAGGTAACAGGATAAATAGAGTGATCTGAAAGCGTCCAAGTCTACATATGCACAAGTGACTTTTGAGGTCATCTAGGAGTCTACAGTTAGTAACAGTCACCCCCTGTCAGGGTCTGGGTTCCACCTCGAATATGCCCCTGTGAGAGCACTTTGAGGACAATGACTGTTAGGGTGTCCCTGACATTTGCCACGTGGAGGACACAGAAGGACCAGGAGAATGGCAGCAGATGGCTGAAGGGTTCTTATTACCAAGAGGGGGCTGATTTGTCCATGAGTAGACGCTGCAGGGAGTTAGACGTCAGCGCAGTGTCAGTGAAACGTCACAACTCTTAGTCTAGGCACGTGCTCCATCACCGTCTGGTGAGTGTCACCAAGAGAATGGGAACATGGAGAGAAGGCAGGCCAGATCATCTTTGTATGGTCCTTTCGAACCCGAAAGCCCTTGGAAACAGAATAAAACAGAAGTCCCCAGCCTAGGTCTTATCCCCACTTAGGCCTGTGGGAATGTTCAGCCTCCGTGGAAGGACACCCGTGGAAGGACACCCGTGCCGTGACCCACACACCCTGGCCCATGTTCCCTCCCCAATGGCTCCAAGTTGTCTTCCAGGCTGCTCAGCAAATGTTTGCTGTTCCGCAAAACACATCCTCCCTTCCTCCCGCAATTTAGACATTAGCTTCTCTGATAAATGCCTCGCCGGAGGTCACATCCAGAAACTTGATTAGGGTGGTGGGAGGGAGGATGCGGGCTATATCATTAGGCCTGCCGCCAGGCAGAGGACGTCTGCCATCCACAGCACTCCCGGATGTGAGCCTGCAGTCTCAGCCCCTAGAACCCGATGAAACCCAATAACAAGTCCAATTTTGAAGTAGCGGTGTACCATTTTTCATTTATGCTTATTATTGTTTGTAGCTCTTTTCCTGAAATTGAAGCGGTTTCCAAGGGCGGGTTTCCATGGTAACTGAAGAGCTGTCCAGAGTGGCTCCCTGCAGATGTTTCTGAAATGGTCCCTTTTTTCTTCCTGGGGTGCCTTGCTGATTTGATGAAATTGGAGCAAGTGGGAGCCAGGCCTGCCCTCTTTTAAAGTTCCAAGCAGCCAGAGGGCAGTCGGCTCCTGCGTGGGCACCCCAGCCCCTTTCCACACGCTCTGTTCCTGCCAGCATCCCACACATATGCATAAAGAATAGCAAATGTTAAGCCTGGGAGAGATCCACTAAGTTCTCTTTTTCTAAAGACATATGAACACTTTGGCATGTGGATCACAAGCGTTCCCAGCTCTCAATGTCTTCCCTGTACTGGTCTGGGACTCGGGATATCTGGGATCTAATCCTGGCTCTGGCCCTGATTCACTTGGGCGACTTAGAAAAGACACATTTAGCTTCCATGTTCCTGATGTCCCCTTCATTGTTCCTAGACCACAGTGTTGTTCTAATCAAACAAGGAGATGCGTGTGAAAGTCTAGTCTGCAGTACTATCCCAGAGAAGGCAAGATGTACCCACTCTCCAGTGCCTCACCAGTGACAGACATTGCTAATCAGTCACAGTGCTTTTTTCCAACTGAGCGTGGATGCAACCTTGGAATCTCTTTCATGGGAACCACTATACCCAGTAGGTCAGAATCAGTTTGACATCTGTGTAAAGGATTTATTGCAAAAATAGTGAGTAGAGAAGGAGAGAGGCACTTCAGTTGTCTCAGGTTTTGTGAACTCTGGGGATGGGGACAGGCTTGGAGAATTATCCAGAGAAACAAACATGGAAGGGAACTGTTATTGCCACTATGACGTCACTGCTAAGACAGGCTCCCAGGGAGGACATCCTGGCCTTACTACGCCATTGCAGCTTTATGGTGACGTTGGCCTCAGATGGATCCAAGAGACAGGAGAGCCACCATACCCTGAGAGCACAGCCACCCCCAAGCCTGGACTGGAAGAGTTCTGGGTCCCTGGTAAGCCCTCTGAGGTCATGGGTGCATCCCACTTCCTGAGATCTTGAAAGAGGAGGGAGGAGATAGCCCTTAGTGTACTGCGCGGGTGCTGGATTTGACCCTGCAGTCCATAGAGTGGGATTGGCAAGCACCAAGGGGCTGAAGAAAGCCCCCTAGGAGCTGAAGGCTTGCTCCCAGGAGCCAGGGGTCTAGGTTTCTAGGAATATAAGCTTTGTCCAAGAGCAAGTTCTCTTCTCTCCCTGTCCTGCTGTCCATACCCCAGATGCCATGGGAAATGTTTCAGTGGTTCTAGCTCAAGCCTGGATTCAGCTAAGTTTTCTCCACCCAGACCAGGCAGGAAGGAGATGTGACCTTGTCAGTTCTTTGCCTGGGGCAGAGCCTCCTCCATGCCCACAGCGGTGTCCAGAGGAGTTTGTCCATCAAGCTCTGGTCCTGCAGGCTGCCGCCTACGCCGGGCTAAAGGATGGCTGGGGACCTTCAGGAGACTGACAGGTGTGGGAAAGAAAAGGCATGCTCCCTGCAGATGGAAATCAAATCACAGCAGCAGGTCCTGCCCATCTGCTGGTGCCGACTCAACCTTCCCTCCTAGTAGCTAGAAGCCCCACTTAGCTGGGGTATTCAGAACCTGATTTACTGGCAGAAGAATCTAATCAAGAAGGGGAAGCCTGAGCTTTACCTGTCTTCCCTCAGGACACGTGAGAGGGGAGGCAGGGTCCCTCCCAAGATTGTCAGGAGTCACCCCAGCTGACACTGCTCCTCAGAGAGGGCTCCAAGGACTTGGCCAAGAAAGGACCCCAGGCAGCCTGTATGTATCTCTCCAAGCCTGTCCCTGCCCTGCTGCCTCCCATGCCACCCTGTGCACCAGACACTCGAGAGGCAGAAGGAAGGGATTCCTAGGGAGGCCAGGGAGCCTAGACAGTGCCGATGAACTGGTCGAGTCACTGAGAGCCCTCCCAAAAGGGAGTTCCTTTGAGGTCACCTGGTCTTCATGGTGGGAGGGTCATTGGTTGTTTATGAAGCTGAGATTAGAATGTCCCATGGAATAATTGGCTTGGCTTGGTTTCCTAGTGTAGGGGAGGAAAAAAATCATTTTCCCTGTACCTTTCTGAGTTCTCAGCTGGGACCCCTGTGACAGAAGACAGAGTAACAAGAGGAAAACAATTTTACTAACGTGTGTACCTCACAGGAAAATGAGAAAATCTGTGACTGTGGCGGTTCCTTAGAACTCTGGCTTATCTAGAATCTTCAACAAAGAGCAGTATAATTTTAGAGAAGTGACAAGACAAAGGAAAAGGACCTTGAGTCTATGGGGGCGACAAATTTCAGGAAGACAAATACATGAGAAACAAATGGTTAGACAAAGGTTAGCTACTAAAGCTTGTTAAGTTCCTCTGGTGCTGTCTCCAGGCTGATGAGGGTCTAAAGCTGTCTTCTGTAGTCAGCCTTTGTCCTTCCTGGTAGAGAGGGAGGAGAGACGGGGACACCCTGGTCAATATGTCCTGCTTTTAGGCAAATAGGGGGCGGGCAGAGAGCGTTTCTTGTACCTGCTGCTTAATTGCCTTCAGCTCAAAATAATCCTTATGCCAGAGTGGCGTGTTTTGGGGTGGCACATTCTGCTACCCTTCGGCAGCCCCTGAAGAAGGCCCTAGACCTGGCCACAGAGCCACCCGTTCTCCCTGCCCTCGGCTTGCCCCCGGGGGAGCTTGAAACCCTCCAGCATGAGTGGGCAGGTGAGGTGTTGGTGGGTGATGCTCTGCCCTCCTCTCCCAGGGACAGACCCTGGAGGGGAGGAGTCTCGGGTCTGCCCCTTGTCATGCTGTCTTCCTGGCTCTCCAGAACCTACCCTCCTCAGGCACCCCTGCAGCAGCAGGGAGACTGCTCCGAATGGGCTTTGGCTCTTGTGATGTGAATCCCAGGATGCAGTTTCTGAAGCAGTCCTGGCAGGCAACCCAGCCTCTTCTCTCCAGAGGTACCTGGAAAGACGGGAAGACAATATTGCCGTCATCTGTAGCCCTCTCAGTGAGAGGGTGGTGATGATT